GGTTTCTCTGTGTAGCCTAAGCTGTCCCGGAACTTGCTCTGTAGACCAGGCTAACCTCAAACTTATATCTGCCTGCCTCTGCCTCCCATGTGCCAGGATTAAAGGTGTGCACCACCACTGCCTGGCTGAGGAATTGTATTAAAGGGTCACAGCTTTAGGAAGTTTGAGAACCACTGATCTAGATGGTAGCTAGCAGGGTATAAATGACCAGAACACACCATTCAACTACTGTGTGCGGCAAATGGTGCATCCTAGGTGTCACCAGACGCCGGTGAGCTTGAGTAGGATGTAGAAGGTGGGTCATGCGTTGGAAATTATTGAAACAGATCCTTGACAGCAGGGATGAGCACACTGGAAGCTTAGTGGATAGGGAGGGGCTGGAGGTTACAGGGCCTAAGGGACGTGGAATACAGGGAGGGGCAGTAGAGACTTGAGACCAGGCTTGGCTGAAGATTTTCTTTTTGGATTGTAGAAGAGTATCGGCTCCCTGGAAAATACATCCAAGGCCTAGAAAAGGCCCCCAAACCTGGCAAGAAGTGACAGACTCATTTTATGCAGTGGATCCCCTGGGAACCCAGGTTCTAAGCTGGTAATTGATACGAGTATTTTCAACTTTTACAAATAAAAACTGTGATTCTTTACTGAAAGCTTTTATTCTAATCTAAATCTGAATGCCCGTGTCCTTCACTTAGTGAGAATGTCCACATGGTTTCTGTGATTCCGTTCATGCCCTGTGTAAGAGCAGGGCAGCCCATCCGAAGCGCAGCAGGCAGGGCCTTCCTGCTTCTAAAGCCCGTCTACCAGGTAGACAGACCCCAGCTTCCCACTTAGTGCTCCTGTGACCCAGTTAACCTCCTAGGCCTGCCAGCCCCTTCATGTTCCATACAAACAGCCTGGTTCTCCTGTGCCCTCAGTCACAGCAACAAGAGGAATGAACTCTAAGCAGAGCAGCAGCAGCAGCAGCATTTAGGCCAGTAGAGATAAGAACAATGAGAACAGATGGTGGGTTCCTATGTGACCATGTTTCTTCCCCAGCTGGAGCAGCATGCTACCACTAATGGCTGAGTTTGATAGCTGTGATATAGTGATGCCTAGGACAACAAGGGCCTTCTTTGGCCCCAGCTGCTTGTTGGAAGCTTGGGTTGTCGGAAGGGCTCTTCAGTCAGTCTTCCGAGATCTCAGGAAGAGGATCTGTGTTCGTCTGATTACACAGGAGTCACTGGATGCCAGGAATGGTTCCACCTTGGTTTGTGCAGGTCCTGTCTGTATCTACGGCTCGCTGTGTAAGTAGGAATAAGAGCTGTGCAATTATAAACTCCTTAAGAGTTCTTGGATTTTTTTTTTTTTTTGAGACAGGGTTTCTCTGTATTGTTTTGGAGGCTGTCCTGGAACTCACTCTGTAGACCAGGCTGGCCTCGAACTCACAGAGATCCGCCTGCCTCTGCCTCCCGAGTGCTGGGATTAAAGGCGTGCGCCACCACCGCCTGGCGAGTTCTTGGATTTTTACCATTAAAGAATTGCCTTTTTTCCCCTTTCTCATCCTTTTAAAAACTGAGATGAAAGAGACTTGTTCATCTGTTGTCCACCAAATCACCTGTTTTAGACCTGGAAAGAAAGGGGTGGGTGTAAAAATGTATGTGACAACTCCCACTTCTTGCTGTGAAACCAAGAACAGGCCTTTTCCCTGGGCAGTAAACTACTTAATCTCACTAATCCTCTCTCTGTCAGCATACATGTACTGAACATGGATGTGCCTTCTAGAAGCCAACTCGAGCAGGATCCTATTACGACGAAGCGTGGAATATGTGCAGAGCAGACAAATGTCCCTTGCATGCATACAGATGACATGCAGCACTGTCCTGCATTCTCACAGGCTCATCTGTTTGGCATGCTCTTGGAAGGTAGTGCCGTAGAAATTGATGACTTCCCTGCCAAAGGCACAAAGCTTATAAGGATCTGTACTTCATTGTGGTTCAGCCTGCGCTCTGCTGTGGTGGTGTGCTTGCTGTCCAGGCCTGTGCTGGGGTGTGTTTTCCAGGAATAGTGATACCTTTGCACTGAATCATCTTCCTGTCTCCCTTATGAATGGCATGGAGATGTGGAAAAGGGTGGAGCAGAGTCAGACCATGGAATGGAGTCTCTCTCTATATGCTAAGCCAAATAATCTGTACCAAGGTCAGACTCTGAGCTTTGAATTTATTAATTATTAATGCTACAGTGAAATGAGTCCAGTGAAAAACAGAAACTGCTTCATTCCCATGCCGTGGGTGGACAGATGATACAGATTTACATAGTGATTCGCTGAGTTTTCTTAATTTTTTGTTTTTGGTGATGGTGGGGGCACTTATGTCCTATCTTTCTCTTCTTTTTTTTTTTTTTTTTTTTGGTTTTTTGAGACAGGGTTTCTCTGTAGCTTTGGAGGCTGTCCTGGAACTCACTTTGTAGACCAGGCTGGCCTCGAACTCACAGAGATCCGCCTGCCTCTGCCTCCCGAGTGCTGGGATTAAAGGCGTGCGCCACCAATGCCCGGCATCCTATCTTTCTCTTCTAACTCCTCTTATGTCTCCCCTTCCTCCCTCTCAAATTCATGGCCCCTTTTTCCGTGTGTGAGTGTGTGTGTGTGTGTGTGTGTGTGTGTGTGTGTGTGCGTGCGTGCGCGCGCGCTATATACGTATTATAACAAATACATAAATTCAGCCTGCTCTACTTGTTTACTGCTACTTGAATGTCTGATCTCAGGGTTGACACCAGGTATTGGATAGCCAGTTACCGGGCTCATCCCTGTGGAAGACGGTTCTCCTGCTCTAAACATTCCTTAGTTAATATAGTTCTTTGTCTAGCTGTGGGGCCCCATGAGATCCCCCATTCATGTTGACTAGTTTTCAGTACCAGACATGATTTCTCTCTTGTTGAGTGGGCCTTAAGTCATATTAAACAGGGGTTACCACCAAGATAAGAGTGCCACTATTATACCCTTAGGGATATTTTGCTGTGCTGGTTGTTATGGGTCAAAGGTGTCACAACTGGGTAGAGCTTGAATAGCCTCCCAACCTGTCGAGCTTGAATAGCCTCCCAACCTGTCCAGTTTTACTTTCATGGTTTTTGGTTTCTGCAGTTACTCCAGGTTATGTTTTCACTTCCGAGGACTTGGAGCTAGGAACCACAGGTGAGAGAGAACATGTGATGTTTGTCTTTCTGGGTGTGGTTACTACTTATTATTATGATCTTTTCTAGTTCGTCCATTTACCTGAAGATTTCATGGTTTCACTTTTCTTTACAGCTAATTCCATAGTTACAACTATATTCCGTAGTGTGTTAGAGTGTATGACCTCGTTTTCCTTATCCATCCATCAGTCGAAGGACACTTAGGTTGTTTCCATTTCCTAGATGTTGTGAACAGAACACCAGTGAATGTGGCTGAGCGTGTATCTGTGTAGTAGGATGTCGAGTCTTTTGGGCGATATGCCAGGGAGTGGTGTAGCTGGACAACATGTTAATTTATGTTTGGACTTTTGAAGGTTCTCCACATGCATTTCCAGAGTGGCTGCATCAGTTTGCAATCCTCACATTCTTTCCAGTATTTGTTGCCAGCTTGACTGGCAAAAAATATAAATACTGATTTGTATTTCCCTAAATGCTAGGGATAATGAGCATATCTTGAAATATTTCTTAGCCATTTTTTATTTGAGAAATCGCTTTTTGGTTCCTTAGTCCATTTTCTGAATGGGTTGTTTGCTTTTTTTGACTTTGTGAATTCTTTTTATATTCTGGATTTTAATGCTTTGTCAGATGTGTATCTGGCAAAGATTCTTCCCATCTTGTGGGCATCCTCTTCCCTTGATTGGCTTCCTGAATTTCTGGGCAAATAGAATCCTTATTCAGGAAGTCCTTCCTACACCTATATTTTGCAGGATACTGCATGTATCTCTTCTAGCGGTTTCAGGTCTCACATTTAGGGCTTTGATCCATTTGGACTTGGTTTTTGTGCAGGTGGTAGGAGGTAGTCTGGGTGGGTGGGCCATGTGTGTGTCCTGGCCGTAGCCTGCAGGTTGCAGTCTGTGGCAGGGATGACCAGACTAGGCTGGTGTGCTGGATAGGACTGGCCATGGTGTCTGGAGTAGGGGACTAGGCAGACCCACCTGGCCCGGACCCTAGTGTAAGATATGCATGATCAGAGAGGTTGGCTGTCAGCTAATACTTTAACATGTTTTATTGTAAGTAGGTGTAGTGGCAGATACCTTTAATCCCAGGACATAGGAGGCAGAGGCAGGTGAATCTGAGTCTGAGGGCAGCCTGATCTACATAGTGAGTTCCAGGACAGCCAGAGGCTACATAGAGAATGTGGGGCACTTTTGTCACAGCACACATGTAGAGGTAAGAAGAAAATCTTCAAGAGTCTGTTTTCTTCTGATTGGGTGGACAGGCTTAGCAGCAAGCATCTTTATCCACTAGCCATCTCATCAGGCCTGTGATTGACTGGTGGAGCGTGGTGGAGCGTGGTGGAGCCCCTGCAGCCTGAAGACTCCATGCATGAGCAACAGTGGAAGGCGGTAGTTTCTCTAGTTACCTTATGTGCCTTCTTCCGTCAATTCAAAGACACTTCTTTGCTAGAAATCAGAGGGTGCCAAAATGAGGGCTGCCTGGTACCAGTTCAGCCCTCTTGTGGCTAAAATAATCAGTAACACATTAGCATCTTAGTTTTAAGTAATTCCAGAACAAACAGAGTTATTGCTTACCTTTGTAGCCAGAAAACCCCTGCTCATTTCCAACTTGACATGTGTGCTGCTGTTAGTCCCTCCCCTCCCCAGAACTAGGGAGATGCAGCAGAGGCAGTGCTCTGTGTTTGGACAGTGTTCTCAAGCATCTGGATAGTAGCCGTTATTCCCAGCTTAACAGAAGAAAACTGGACTCTGCCAAGAAATGTCCCTACTGCTGCTCAGTACCACGCACCAGCTCAGTTCTCATAAGATGTGAAGTTCAGTGACGATGTTTCCAGTGAATTGTTTTTGCAGTAAGATTTTATTACTCATTAAAAAACATATAAGAAAGACATTTACAAAGAAAATATTCTCAAAACAACACCCACAGAACAATACAACCATAGAAGGCACTACCAGCAGTTACACCCAGCTCTGGGACTGAAGGAACTTGACCCTTCCCAGAAGCTCAACTTCAGTAGAGGTCCTGAGTCCAACTGTGCTTAAAGTCTGAATTTTACCATAATTTTCTGAATAAACACCTTTTCTTTATATATAGCTATATGCCTCTATGTGAATACACACACATATATATATGTATTTGTATATATACATGACTTTTTTTTCTTAAAAATAAAACAGCCATCCATGGAGGGAGGTTCTCAGCAGCATTCACAGTGTTTGCAGCAGGAGCCATGCCTTCTCCTAGTGCTACAGACATGCAGGGTGAAGGGATGACTTCCGCTGTCCCTGTATCCGCAGGAGGGAAGGAAGTGATGAGACCGAGCGTGAGGTGGCGGACAGCCAGGGTCGCTGGCATGCACAGCCTCAGAGTTGCTAGCTCGTGTAGCTTTGGCAGCTCTGAAGACTGAATGGCATTCCTCTGGGACAGGAGCAGTGTGGACTAGCCTGAGCTGGGGAGGGAGCTTTGGAGGCTACATGAAGAAGCTTGGGCCTGAAACAACCCGAGGGGTGTGGAGGGGCAGGGGTAACAAGCAAGTGGTCTCTTCTGAGGCTAGATTGGAACACTGGCCTTCTTTGAAAAGACAGGTTCTAATCCCTCTCCATTGAGTGTCTTTGCAGTCCTGGCTAATTTATGTTCAGTCTGAACTAGTCAGAGCTGGAGTTATAATTTGATGCTGTCATTGTGGCCTAATAATATCACATCTTCAAGTCAGTGTCTGATCAGGAAGCTTGATGGCAAAGAGGTGTGTGATCGTCGCCCTGTGCTCTGAGGAGTCCCCTGTCCTTCTCTCTACACCATCGTCTACATCATTGTCGGCTTCCTGCCAGCGGCAAGCCAGCAGGAGAGCTTTCCACAAACATGCCCTGCTCTTCTCTCTGAGAACAAAAAGGCACTGGAGTCACCGGGCAGGCCAGGTCACAGAGCATGCTTTGCAACAGAAAGGACCCCACCACTGTCAGTGATCAAGGCTACTACTCAGGCAACAGCTGGAGTGGATAGATGCCGAGGTAGGCTGAGTGGTCCAGGCACCACCACTTCCTAGTGGCAGGCAGGTTGTAGACAGCTTGGATGAGCTTCTCTGCAATACTTTCTGGCCACTCGGCAGGAAACTAAAATTGTTAAGTGGCTGGTAGAAACCCATGAGGATGACAATATCAAATTCAAATTTTGACATAACAAACAGGACAAAGACATGCTGAAATACCACGTAACTGTAAGTATATGCCTTTGGGTTTGCATGTGCTCGGCCCCTGGGGTGACAGAGACAGGGCCTGGTCGGGCTGTAGCCTCTGGAAATCTCAGGCTAACCCGAGTGTCTAGTCCTAGCGAAGAGGAGGCACCTGGGGGCAAGGAGGACAGTCCTTTCATAAGCATTTCTGCTTTCAAGGACTTAGCTGAATGAGTATGCCACATTGGACCCACAAATAAAGATACTATGGGTGGCAAAGGAGAACTGAAAAATTAAATCCAGAGAAAGAAGACGGGGCTCTAAAACCTTTCCTCCCTCTTTGCCGGCCGGTGTGATTGATTGGAGTTTGGTGCCCAGAGGCAACTATTTGGTTTGTGAAAGGCCAGCAGATTGAGCAGGGGAAACACTGTTCATCCCACAAGTTCTGATCCAGGTGGAATCTCCAGAGTCATGGCGCGGTGGGTTGGCAGGAATCGAGCCCTGCACAGACACTTTGTGGAAGAGACTTTGTGCCACATCTGTTAGTTGCTGGGCAGGCACAGGTGGACCCAGAGGCATCTTGAGAATGTCTGTTGCAAAATAATAAATGACCGAGGGCACTGAGAGGACGGGAAGGAGGCGGCTACCCAGGCTTCCCTTGGGACTCCCGCAGCGCCGCCTCCAGTTTCTGCCGGAATGTGGTGTACTTCTTCTGCACTTGGTGGATTTTGTCCTGCTCCTCTTTTTCCAGGATAGTTAAGAAGTTCTGGAGTTCAGGAATGGAAAAGGCATCCCACTGTGAGGCAGGGAGGAGGAGGAAGAAACAAGGGGAAATGGTTGGAAGTTGACATGACCCAAGGGCCCTGCGTTGTCTCCAGTCTACATCAGTGAGCCAGCCCCACACGGTTTGGACATGCAGGTGCCATGGATGGCACCTGTACTATGTATGGTGGCCACATCAGCCACAAACAGCCAAATGCTGGCCCTGCATCCGCCACTTCTACAGAAAAGTCAGCAGCAACTGAGGTCTTCCTCACTTTGGTGCTGGCTGTGGCCTCCAGAGGCAGGATGACCTCACTAGCTGTGGATGTCAGGCACCAAACTCCACCCTGTTGCCCAGCTCCTCGTGAACCAGTGTTCCATGTGTGCCCTGACACCTCTCAGTCGGCTCTAGCTGGCCAGGCGAGAAAGGGATGAAACTCCAAGCTCTGCGTACAAGGCAGCATTTATGGTATGTCTGCTTTAATCCCCATACTCCATGGAGAGAAGGTAAGGAAACCACACTGGAGCCAGTAGCAGCAGTGTGGACAGAGCTGGATGCCAGCTCTCCCTAGCACACAGGCCAGCAGAGCTCACAGGCTTCCCCGGCTCCCTTCTAACAGGCTCAGCTGTAGACTCCCACACTGAGTTGCTCTGGTTGAAATGAGGGCAGAGCCTCCAGATCTCTATTGACTCACCCCCCCCCACACACACACCTCAAAAAACAATCCTGTTCATGTTCAACCTCCACTGAACAATGTGATAAATACTTAGACCCTCCTCTCTGTCACTCCATGAAGAGCACATCCCAAGTATCCTGGGCTTGGAAGATTACTGCCTGATTTTTACCCCGTTTTTGCCAGGGGACCGACATTTGTTAGTCCTCCCTTGTAGAAAGGAAGTCATTTTAGGAGAGAGAATGGTTCAAAACTGTCTATGCCGAGTAAAACCCAGTTGGAAATTGCTGGGCCTTAGACTATCCTGAGTCAAGACCAGCCTGGGTCCAAATACAGTTTCTCAGCATGTAACGCCCCCCCCCAGTACACACCCCCAGTCCCATTTTCGCAAGCGAAGTGAGTAAAATCCTTTGTACAGGCATTGCAGCACGCAGGTTATAACTTGCTGTGCTCCACTGAGAATCCTGGGTTAACACTGCGTGTGGCCCAGCCCTCACCACGGCTCTCTAGCAGGTAGGACAGCAGCACTCATCTTTCCCCACCTAGGGCTGGTTTTTGCAAAGGGTCCAGACGTACCTCTACCTCTCCGGTTTCATTCTCCTTAAGCACAAAGCTGAGTATGTCAGTGTCCGGTCCAGCGAGCAGACGCAGGTAGAGAGGGCAGTCAGCAATGGAGAGTTTCTGGAAGAGCACTGCAAACAGAGTGAAGGCTCGGGTGTCCCTCTCAACAGAGAGGAAAAGGGCGGGCCTGGGCTTGGAAATGCCCAGGTTGGGGCAGATAACAGGAATGGGTGTGAACCTGCCAAGACTGGTAGCTCAGAGGCAGGGCCTTCCATTCCTGCCTGGCATTCACGAGGCCCTGCCTCCATTTATATCATCTTCCAAAGCAAGCGGGGCAATGGGCAGACTCCTCATAAAGATGAGGAGCCCAGAACCCAGACCATGTCTTTTCTGAGCACGGAGATGGACAGTGGTAGGCGTGAGCTGCCTGATGAGGCTCTCTGCTTGTTTTCCTGCCCAGATCCCATGCTTGGCTCTCCCATGGATCCTAACACCATGTAGATGGCTGTAGCCCCGCTGCCTGGAAGCCCACACACCCCATCCAGGGCTCACAGTGGGTTTAATAACAGTGTGGGCACTGGCAGACTGGGGAGAGGTTGGGAATGCTCGTCATACCTTGTCCATCTTGGTGTATCCTCTTAAAGAGTGCAAACTTCTGTGGGTTGTCCACAACCATGAATTTCTTGAGCAGTCCCTGAATGACCTCGCTGACAGTGGTGGTGCTGCTGATATGCAGCTGCTTGATGGCATCAAGTGGCAGGTAGAAGGATGTCCGCTTATCTGTGGTGGCGGCGGGGTTCACCTCCTTAATGGCATCGTAGATAGACTGGGGCCGGATCCCAGCAGGTACCGTCACTGGCCGCCGCAGTTTCAAATGCACTTTGATGAAACCCGTGTAGGTGCCATCTTCACTCTACAAGTGGGAAGGACATCTTGTGTGATTCTACCTGCCACTCAAGCTTGTGAGCTACGGAAGCCCTGATGGGGCCATTCCAGCCAGCAGGTGGAGTTCCCTCCTGAGTCTGCCAACCAGAGGTGCTGGAGGTAGGATGCTCCCCTCTCCTCAAGGGCTGGAGGGCTGGAGCCCAGTTACCAGAGAGGATTGGTGGGGCTGCTGTGACTTCCTTCACAGGAAGTTTAGGCTGGCTGGTCCAAACCCTCTACCAGACAGGTGCCAATTGCCTTTACACTCTAACAGACTCTAACAGGCAGAGTTTGCAGGCATCTCTCTACCTCAGAACTAGGAAAGGGCATTGAGGTCCTTAGAGGTAGAGTCTAGCCCAACAAACTCCAGACTAAAGTTGACCTTTTCTGTGGCTCTGGTGTAACTTTTGAAAGCCCCAAAGAGCCAGTTGCTGCCAGTCTCCAGCAGGGGGCGGGGTTCTTATAACATCGCCCCTTAGAGATAATCTTTCTGACCCTGTGCAAGTCAGGGTGCTTGCCAGTACACACTCCACTACTCTTGGAAAATTCCCCTGGCAAAGGGCTTCCTGGGGACCAAGCCCCAAAGCCTTCATCACTGTCTTTAATCCCCTGAAGATCTCTTACACTGACGTAAGGGGAGGTTAAACTTTCCCAAAGTGGCCAGAGCGTGAATGGAACAGAGATTGTATCTGGAGTCTATTCTAAAACCTAATCTATTTCTCAGGGTCCCGGAGGCCACAGAAAGCTGGGCCTGGACAAAGAAGAGAATCTTCTGTGGGGAGAGGGGACAGAAGCGATTCTGGATAGGGAGGGACAGGCCTTGCTTACCACCTTCATGCCCAGGCAGAGTGGACAGCCAGGCAGAGAGGTGGGGGTGGGGGACAGGCGGGGTGCTGGATAGGGGTGCACAGGCCCTGCTTACCAACTTCATGCCCAGGCAATGCTTCTCCCTGCTGTTGTAGCTGTCAATCTTCTGCCTGATCTCCTGGAGTGTGGGTGGGTGCTGTGTCTCCTCCACCGCCTTACAGACACTCTGGAGCAGACAGAGAAGGGCAGTGTGTACACCGGCTCTCAGGATACGAAGGGCAGTAAGCATACCTCCCAAATGCCTCCCCAGAGAAGAAATAAGTGCCAGCCTAAGAGCAGCAAGAGGCCAGCTATTCAAATGTCAGCCTCAGGCTTCACCGCCTTTGAAATGGGACTCATACCTCCCCCAGACTGGCTGGGAAACCAGTGTCAGTGTGCCCCACATTTGAGCAGTGGCTATGAACTTGCTGAGTAGGTAGAATGTCATATGATCGTGGTTTGCTATGGAAAAGATGCTCATGGATGGAAAGATACAAAGCCATGGCCATGGCCTATTTGTCTCAGAGAAGTCATGATAAAGCTGCAGCAGTGGGAATACATGTCAGCAGAAGATGATGGCTTAGAACCAGAAAGCAAGGACACTGCCCTCCAGTTCAGAGCTCACGAGCTTTGCTCATAGCAGGTGAAGATACGTTTGTCAAGTGAATGAGTGGCAGGGACAGGGGGCTGTAGTCCCTCTACTAGGGATGGTCAGCGTTTACTGGGCACCTAAGTACTACACTAAATACTCAGCATCTCCTTGCATGATGATTCGTTACACCCAGTTTCCAGGTGAGAACACCTAGACTAAGGCATTTACCAACTTGCCTAACACCCTTATCCACATGTGCAGAACAAACCAGAAATCCCACATGTGTCCTGCTATGTTCTCCCTGCATCACCATGTTTTGTTCTTTTCCTCCTATAGTCCCGGGATTTCCCCTTCCCGACCTAGGAACACAGACGAACAAAGTTAGAATGGAAGTCCATATCCCTCAGTATGGTACATGGTGGATTCTGAGGTCTACACAGCTCTTTTTCAGTCAGTTCTCTGGATGTCTCTCATGTTCTTTGTCACTTCCCAGTTTTTCTTCATGCTGCCCTTTGATTATAGGAGCTGGTTGGTGAAAATTCTCCCCAAATTATCCTGATCTTAGAAAACCAGCAGACTTAGGACCAGTTTAGTCACCTCTGGTACCCAGAGAGAGATGGCTTTGACATCATCTGACACCTGCTCTTGGGTTTGGTTTGGGGAATTTTACAACGGGTCCCACATCACACTGCCACCACCACCACCAGAGCTCGCCCGTTACCTTCCCCTTCAACACACCCATTTGCAGGGTTTCATCGCACTGCCAGCATGCCAATGCACCCTCCCACTCTCCAAGCCCACAGAGCACAGGAAACTGCCAAGAGGAGTGAGCACTGCTGGGTCTGGAGGGCGCCACCTTCCCAGCTCTCCACAGAGATAAGGCAACACTCTTCATCGCAGGCTCTTTCCATAGTCTGCTCCCTATTCACCCAGAGCCCCTGAAGGCAGCATCAGTGTGTCAGCTGCTTCCGATGCCTTCTCTGACATACCACCTGCGTTATTCTCTCCCCACCCCCACGTGCCTGTGTCCCACTCTGCTAGTGAGTGGCCAAATGCAAATGAGAATGAAGTCCCTCTAAGCCTGGAGTTCTCAAGTGGCCACGTGGTCACTCTAGGGCAGTCTTTGTGCTGCAGGGCTCAGCTCCCCACCACACCAGTAATGGTCACTGGATTTTAACACTGCAGGCTTGGGATGGACAGCTGGTAAACCCAGACCCAACCTGTAGAACACGCATCTAAGCTGGCCTGATCGGTATGGCCAGCTCTAGGGATCCCAGTGGCTCTTCATCATCTGGGAAGCTGGCAAGGAGGGACTTCTACATATGAAGTGGGAGACAGGTGGTAAGATGTAGGGGCTGCCAGGATGGCCTCAGCTCTCTGAATTAGGCCTTGAAGAGTGTCCAAGGGAAACAGTTGCTGGGACATCTCCTGTTTGCTTGTGATGAATAAGGCACGTGAGCCTCACAGGCTGCCTTCATTTACTGTTGACTCATTAATCTGGGGACTTTCAGACTAGAGCCTCTCATTTGTTTTCACTTCTGGGACTCTCCATTTTCAGTCTCTGTAAGCTGGGCACATAGCTACAGGCCAGGTGGACCTGGCTGTGGCTCCGCCTTGTCTCCAGCCATTTCCACTAGGAATAAGCTGCTCTATGGCTACTGTCTTATACTTCATTCTAGCCGTCTCTAAGGTGGGCAGACTTATTCCTAGCACATTCTCATGTTCATCTACAAAAGAAACGTTAAGCGATATAAAACTCCAGAAGCCCCTTGGAAGGTCTCAGTTTTCAGTCAAGCTCCAGCCATTTCCTTGCTGAAGAAGCAGCTGTGTCGTGGCTGCCAAAGGCCTGCTTCCACACCTCACTGTGGACCGCAGTGAGTCACCGCTGCCTTGGCCTTAGGTTTCTTCTTCCTGTTCTACTTTTATTCATTACATCAACCCATCTATTCTCTTCCCTTCCCACAAGCCTGGGAAATGATGCAAGTGTGTACCATGGGTACCTTCCAGACAGGCAGAAGACAGCATCCATTGACTCGGCATCGGAAGGTCTGGCCTTCCAGGTGTGTAGGTGAGCTCCATCTACCTAGCAGTGCCAGCAGTCTGTGTGTGGGCAACACTGTGAACCATGCTCCCATAGAATGTCATCATCAAATGTCAGCACCTAGTTCAGGCTGGCTGCTGCCCACACTGAACCTGCCAGGCGAGATCTAACCTACAGATGGAATGAATCACTTAAAGTAGGCCAATCAGTGAGCCCTGTCCAAGAGCTCAAAATCCACCACCAGCCCGGGAAACACCATAGATTCTAGACTCTGGGTTCTAAAACTTCGGAACACATTGGAGTCACTGGGGATTTTCTAGAAATATGGTTTCCTGAACTTTCTCTCCAGAGAGTACTAATTTCATGTTCTGGGATGTAGCCCAGGAACAAGGATTTTAGAAATCTCTCAGGTGATTTCAATATGTTTCAGGGTCTAGAAGCTGTGAGAGACCCTCCCAACAAACAATTCCATCCCACTACAGAGCTAATATTTTGGGGCAAAAAGATGAATGTTACCCCCATACTTAAAGGCAGTATCCACTGTGAACAAGTCAACAACTCAGTAATTTTTCCAGTTACTGAGCCTGTCGAGAGAGGACTGCTGAAAATCTGGCCTGTCTCCTGTCCTAAACCATGCAAAAGGCTGGAACCACTCTAAACTCAAAGTCATGGTGGGGGGATCATGACAACCAAGGAAGAGGCTGTGTGCTAAGAGGAGGCGCAGGTGCCTGTCCCCAGATGGTTCCCTACCATCTCTATTAAAATACCCTCAATGGGCTGGGAGTGGTGGCGTGCACCTCTAATCCCAGCACTTGAGAGGCCGAGGTCGAGGCCAGAGGAGCACCGCACATTCAAGGCCAGCCTGGTCTGGTAGTGAGCTACCAAAACTCTATCTCAAAACCAAATAAAGTGAATACCTTCGACAAGCCCAGCACAGAATAGATTTATCCTAAGTCAAACCTGACTGTAATTTATCTTCAAGGAAGCACCACCACACTGGCCAGTTCTACCTTGTAGTCAGTGACAAGCAGGAAGTCCTCAGTTTGTTATTCCACTCTACAGAGGACAGTGCTGAGCGGGGCCTGCAGCTTTTAACCCCCAGATAGGTCCTGGACAGCCCAGGAGATCTCCAGGGAAGCTCCCGGAGTGACAAGTGGGCAGAGGAGTGTGTGTCCACTCTCAGTGCTTGCATTGCCTCGATTAAAACCACACAGACCTCAGGCCTGCTAAAACTGCACTCCCCCTCTTTTGAAATGTGTCAGCATGTGCTCCTAACCCTTGACCCTCACCCTAACCCTTGCCTGGCAAGGCTTCCCTAACCACTGCTGCCCGAGTGACGCTCCCTCATCACAACCGCCATGTGCTGTCTCTGCGTGGATGCGCTCCTCCACAGCAAGGTCATGAAGACAGTTACCATCACTGCACCCACCTACAGCCAGACTACAGCTAAGCTCATGAAGACAGTTACCATCACTGCACCCACCTACAGCCAGACTACAGCTAAGCTCATGGAGAGCCATGCCTTCTGGACTTTATCTCCAATCCTGCTTCCACCCACCTCCAGGAACCTAGCAGTGCCGCCTCCCCCTCTCCTGGATGGAAGCTCCTTCTCAACCAGGCCATATGATTTCATTTCTTCTGTGCCCATCAGCACTGGGCACAGAGAAAACAATGAACACTTGCTCAAGGGCCCTCGCTGGGCCCTCCCTGACTGCAGGGGACTGGGCTCCCCACTTCTCTAAGGAGCTGTGGTGGGCCTTGAACTTAAACGTAGTCTGCATTCTGCAAGTTTAGTGACCATTGCCTGTCTTGTCCATCGTGGTATCCCAGAGCCTTGTTCCTGCTCAGCACATCGTAGGGCGGGGTAAACAGCCAGGGATGGACAGCGAGTATTGGCTTTTGACTCCCCAGTCCCAATTTTTTTTTTTTTTTTTTTGGTTTTACGAGACAGGGTTTCTCTGTTTTGGAGGCTGTCGGTCCAGCCTGGCCTCGAACTCACAGAGATCCGCCTGCCTCTGCCTCCCGAGTGCTGGGATTAAAGGCGTGTGCCACCAACGCCCGGCCCCATTCCCAATTTTGAGAGAATCAGAGAACCTGTAAATCTTGTCTGCTTCTATAAATTTGGGATCGAAATCCTTTATTACTCAGGACTGATGTAAAAGTCAAGGGAAGTGAGACAGTGGGCTCAAAGGTGTTTTAGAAGTCATCAAACCCAACCAGGGGCTGTGCTATCATTTTCATTCCAGGAAAACCAAGCCCTTCCCTCTAAACCAATTTTATTTCTCACCATCCTTGATCACTGATTCTAGATTAGCCATACATCATTATAGTTCATTCGTTCCTTTCTTAACACAGGCTTTGGAGGCCATAGTCTGTTGCATTGACTTATGGCCACCCTTATAACACAGAGGCAGCCAGACAACGAGGGTAGCTGTGACCCAAGAAAACTTGCTTTGTGCAATGTACTTATGAGCAGTGAAGCTTGCTTTGTGCAATGTGCCCAAGGGTAGTAGTTTGCTTCACAGAGGTGCTTGTGCAATTTCCCTCCCTAGAA